AGAATGAACCTTTTGCACGCTTGTTTCCATCGCACGGGGGGCCCCGCTCGAATAATTAACGGCTCGCACTCTTTTTTTTTCGAATTGGGGCGAGGCTGATTTGTCAAGGCCGGTCGATTGCACCATAGTGATTAAAATTGGAATTGAAATGAGATGGGAACAGTAAGCGAAGGAGAAGATGCCATAACCCGCTGGACTTGAGATGCAATCTTGATCGGGATAGAGGACTTCGTACTCATTACCGCATTTGGAGAGAGCGTAAATGGCAGATTAGGAAAGAGTCGCATATGATCAATTGTAGTGTGGGTGATGTTCTCGCGACACTAACTCGATTCATGAACGACTTGATCAAGCGGCACAGACTGTGTCCTGCAACTGGGCACTAGTAGTATGTATTCATTACTGCGACCGAGATAGCATGAAGTAGTCGGTGATATCGGCTCTTGCAACAAAGTGCCTTGGCAGTCAGGCCCACCACAGGGCTGCACGCTGGTAGGTTATGACCGTGGCGTTCACACACTATGGACGAATGACCCGATCTGAGGTAAGAGTTCAGGAGCCGTGAAGAATTTGGCCCCGTTGAACTAGGAAGATGGATCTTGTAAGACCTAAGCCCTGAAGGATTCATGAAGAGCCAAGCCAGGATTGACAGTGGCAGTGGCGCTGGCAGTGGCAATTAGGGGAGGGGCCGCCGAGTATCAGACCGTGCGAACAGTGCGACCGATCGTCAGAGAACATATCGACTGATCGGCCTGGGGTGGACTCGTCCATTTGGTCTCGCCCTTGTGTGTTCTCCGAGAAGATCAACATGACCGCAAGCTCGCCAGAGCGTTGTTAGTGGAGCCCACCGGAGGTCCCGCCCCGTTATTTGTCAGAAGCAGCACAGTTCTGTCTTTTGTCTCCCCGCGGGCGAATTCCGTCCGAAGAACTGTTCGGGCACGAGCCGTGTTGATCACGCTTGTAATATCATACCGACCCTATTTCTGATTAAATCCCGTTGCCATCGCTAAACCCGACGTGTCGGAACCGAGATATGCGGGCGCTTTAGCGAAAGGAACAACAAGAAACATATCTCCGAATCTCGACTCCATCTTCATACCTAGTTCCTGACGACTATGCCGAACTGAGTGCATGGTAACGAGAGACCCACATTAGGCACATTAACGATGTGTTAGGTGCTGAGGAGAGACGGGAAGTTCAGCAGGTACGCAGCAGGTACAGAGTCACTCTCACGCGAGCTAACCAACGTAACCCCAACAAACCACCAACACTTGAGTGGATTTTCGAAGCTATACTCTATCCTGCCCACTACCAACCTCATCATCTCGGTATCTCACTCATAATCAAGTTCTCCACGATAAGCCCAGCCCGCATCGGACCAACCGAATGGCCCCCTTCCAAGCCTCCAAGCCCCTCCTCCCGCCGGCCCGGGATCGCCCAAGAACCCTAAAAAAAGAACCAACAGTAAATCGCTCTTCGTGACTGGCGAGCTCGGTATGGACTAAACTCTTCTGCAGAGCTACCAAAGCCACCGAGGGGCCAATGACGAGTTGGGGGCACCACGCATCAACGGGAATCAGCACTTATGGTCTTCGGGCCTGACATTGTCACAACGGTTATTTGCCTGTTATCACTCATGACTGGCTCTTGATGAGATTGCCGGGTCCATCAATGGCTGAAAAAACTGTCAGACGGTGTGCAAAATCTCCGAGGTGGTAACATTGGGGCCTTTTTGGTTTTGCATGCCACCTGAAAGTGCGAGATGAAGGCAGGCCCACTTTCCAAGAGTGGACAACATGGCGCATGACAAGAAATGGACTGTATCCTAACTAAGTTCTACTGTAAACAGCTACAGCACGCAAAATGCAAATGAAATAATCGGGAGATTCGAGTATCTCCGAACTCTCCGAGGAATACCCATCGTCATCGAAAGAGGCCCGGTCGCTAACCCCCCATACTGCCAGTCCCTGGTCCCTGGTCCGTGGGGCAGGATGATTTCAGTGGCACTCTCTTCCTTTGATAACATAGGAAAGAAAGTGCAATAAGTACGTATGCTGGGCAATCGTCATGATCCGCACGCCGCATACAAAACCAGCTCGAAGGATCACATCCCCGCCGGAAGCCTCCCAGTGAAAAGCAAAAGCACGACGGAACTCGCGTGAACCACCATCCCGACTACCGGGCAAGTAAAATTAAATTACCAGCCATTCACGAGTCATTTAGTTAATATACCCTGCCCCAGGCTCTGGCCCGCCCTAAGTTCAGCCCTAACCTGGATAGAGAAGCAGGGGGTAGAAAAGCGGGTTAATTCCCACTAAGCCCCAAATCAGGCCGACCGGCGGGAGACTAAGATCTTAAACGGATTAGACTGCGATCATGGCGGGGCGGAGCATGGTAATTCGACCAGTCCCAGGTACATCGCCCGCAACGAGGGGAAGCTGTGAAGGCGAGGGAGGATTTGGACCTATGAGCGCTGTAGTGCTATCTTGGATTTTGCTACTACATCAAGTAGGATAGTAACCTCACGGGAAGAGGGCGATCAAACCCCCAGCAACTAGCTGATCCCCCTGCTCCAATCTAATCTGAGAAAGGCTGTGCTATTTCCGGGATTTGAAAATCGCGTTCATGCCGCTATGACACTCATCGTGAACTAGACGACTCGGCGATCTGTTGAGTTGGTGGCTCGACCCGATATGGATTGAGGTTGCAATGTAGACGAGTATATCCCGGGACATACTCGGCACCACGCCAGTATGTTGGTTTGTCTCTCCTCAGCATATGGCCCCAAAAGGTGGAACTTAGCTTGCTGAAACGGAGGGGAAAGGGTAAAGATAGATGATTTTCTATGATCAATACATGTGCATGTTTGATGTCTGGTTTTAGCATTGCTCGATGCCTATTTGTCATGTACCCGTTGAGGATATATGCAACGCCCTGCCAAGCGATGTATACTATGGACCTGCCCCGCTAGCTTCAACCTATAATTCCTATTCTAATCCCCGAAAGGGAGAATCAGTTCTTCATGTAGTGTGCACTGCGTGCTGATGCCTTACCCCTGCATGCGATCCAGTTCAAAATTTAACCCCCAATGCACCATCACAATCACTGACATCAAATGAGAATCGAGTGCGCATAGTTCTCACCGGCCCCAATGCATCTATTTTCTGCATATTCGGGGCCGAACAACGGATCCAACAGCTCGCCCTGTCCCGAGTCGGAGAATTCTCTTCCAGAATGACTTGGCACAGCTCGAACCTGCAGCAAACCCTCGTGCCTACGTTTCAGATTCTGCCTCCAAATAAGCAGTAAGCCACTTGTGATGGGGGCGCATTGCCACCTCCGCCGACATTTCCAAATTTGACGGTTTACCCCTGGCGAAAGGATGGGAACCCATGTTACCTGCCACGAGGGCGAGCGAGCCTATGCGCAACTAGTCGTAGTGTTGGGATACTGGGATTGGACCTCTACCACGAGGGCGTGGGGTGCAGTACTCTATCGTAAGCGGGGGCCAACGGCGTTCATTGCACTATACAGAGTAGTTCAGAGAGAAAGAGACACTTCCTATTGTGACAACATGTCTTGGCTGTTGTAGGGTCGACTTAGAGTACGGGAGTACGTGCACAGTCCCAGCACGAGATCAATGAATAAACATGGCGAAGCATTCTTCATCGCATGCAGGACCCAACTATGTGAAGGGAAATACAGTTTAGGGCTGTGCCTTTCCCGGTTTCTATTTTCATCTCAACGAACGAGCATCCTTCCCGTGCAAGGCTCCGATCGCACATCCGTCTTCCTGCAAGGCATATCGCGAGAATCCAGTTCTCTGTGACGTCGGGAACAAGATGCTTGTTTGGGGCCCTTTTTGATGGATTATGGATCATGGCTGAAAGGCGGACAGATCGTGGACTGGATATTTTTTTGTTTGTCTAATTTCGACCCCATGTAGTAATGGATCAGCAAGATGAAACAAGCCAGGGAACTGCTAGAATCTTGGCCAAGCCCTGACCTCACGTCTGGAAATTCCTGCCCCCCTCATTCCTCCATTCCTCCTAAGGCGCACTCGGCAGACCCACTAGGCTGATTCTTGTCTCCTTGGCTGGCAGTCAATCAGTATCGTAGTGGCCCGTCATGGTGACCCTCCCTTTTTGATTCCTGACTGCCTTAGATCGAAGCAGATCCACTACTCGGATCGTCTGAAATTCGTCCGTGAGATCCGGACGGGAAATGTGGTCATAGGATATATCGTGGAATTGATGTATTAGGTACAGACTACAAAGTAACCAAAGTCACTGCTGTTTACTCGGTCGGCGCGTCCAGGGTTGCCATCCAGCCTACTGGGGAGGATCGTGCAAGACAAATGCATAGTATCTCTATTTGGAGCGGAAGGAAGAATAAAGAAGAGGGTTCTGACAAATGTTTTGTGTTCCGTCTGACACGCAGAATATTCAAATCAGCCTCAGGTACGCAGAGTCTCTCATCAAGGGGGGGGTGGGGGGGGGTGGGAAGTGTCCATAGGCCTACTGTTGGTCCGTACTCCGGCGGAGACAAGGCATCCACCGGTCATAGCCCCATGACATCGGTAGCCAATGGTAGGGCCACCCAGGCCAATGACCTATTTACCCAAACGGGGTCAAAGTGCGATCCAGCAGGTTGCCCAACCCGGATGAACCATGTCCTGGCCCCCCCCCCATTTGCTGGCTTCTGGCTGGTTGACGGGCACGGCTCCACTCACAAGTACAGTGGGGCAACCCGTTGTGCTCCGTGGGAGCTTGGACGAACGAGCTCGCGATCCACGCGGGATGGGAATTTGGAATGAGAGTCTGGAGATTGAGGAGAAGGTCGGAGACTGTCGTACGGGGGGCCACTTACGATATACCCGACATAGGACCGAGATACGGCGTATGTAGTACTGTACAATGATTGTGAGCATGGAGGTATATTACTTTCTCTATTAACCCAGTAAAAAGCAATGGCTCTGCATGCCACACATGGAAATACCACGCAAACCCAGCCCATACGGTTCTCTATTTCAAGCGAAAGAATTCTGGCAAATGCATTCCCAGTCCTCCGTAGGTCAAATTACTAGAAATGGCTCCGATATGCGCTCCCAGACCGCCTACCCGGTGTTGTCCGTAGTGTCGCCGCTTCTACTATCCTATAATAACGTCGTCTTGCTTCATCGAGAACACCACAAATCACCAAGCATTAAGCAATTGCGGCTACTACAGTCAAAAATGCAATCTTCAACAACAACAAGACAAGCGCCTGGCCAGTCTTCCCAGTCTAGAAAGCGGCGCCAACTTCAGCCTGTGGTCGATCCCTCCAAGGTCGAGCCACTCACCCACTTTTCCGATCTGCTCGCCCATGCACGCAGTGATGATCCTGATCTTCGAGCCGATGCAATCAAGCAGCTTGCGGTACTATCGCCATTGATGCAACAGCTCGGCTATTCAAGGAATGATTACGCCGTCCACCACACTGCGAAGGGGTTTAAGACTTTAAACGAGGCTTGTGAGGTCTTCGGCATCAAATACCAACGGCAACAAGCCTGGAATAGGCCAGATATCAGTCAAATCCCGCAAACTACCCTCTCTCCTGCGATTGACACAGTTATCGAGCGACTCCAATCATCAGAAGATCACAAAATCGATAATTCTGAAGCCTCGGTGCGGGTGATAGTCGAGCTACTCATCCTCGATCGGCTTGAACACCTTTCCGATGATGGTTCGCTACATCGTCTACAGCTATATCCAGAGGTAGACGTGAAGCTCCTGTTCGGCAATAATCTTGTTACTGGCCGTGCTGATTGGCTACTTTGCCACGAGGATCCTCAAGATAGCATCGAATCGACATTGATTGCTATAGAGGCTAAGCGGGCTTGCGAGTTTTCTAGCGCTGACCGTCAATTGGCTGTTTATCTCGCAGCTATACAGAAGCGTAGGGCTGAAGCTAATTTACTCCCTGCTATTGCTTTCGGCATCGCAACGGATAGTACTTCTTTTTAATTCTGGTTTTTAAACTCAGAAAGTCAGCTTCACTCATCTCGAGTATTTGACTGGCGTCTAGAGAAGGCTACTATCATCGTATGGATCGATAAAATGCTGGCCGAAGCAATTGCGGCCTCCCCGTTGACAACACCAATTCTACATAGAAACAAGTCACTGCGCAACTGGGAGAAAACCTTCCGACGGGATCAGCAGCTGAGTTCGCAAGCAGATGATTCGCCTTTAATTGGGGGGCTGCCGTTGGAGATCGCTGATCCGAACTCACACCAGCTTGTTGGGGTCAAGTACTATGCAGGACGACATGTCATGGTTGTTGAATGTGCCGATGAAGAGGAGGAGCCGAGCGCACGAAATTGACGAGGATGAAGAGGGTTTTGCTGTTGAGGATTACGCTGTTGACGATATCGCTTAGAAGCATACATGATTACTACTTGTCGGAGAGCGTATATTACCCGTTCTAGAGCCTCAGTCCATATTTTATCTCCTGGTTATTATAATTGATGATAACCTGCGTAGCCCGAACAGACGGAGAACCGCCCCGCATCGACCCGCTTGAGTTGCGCGGTGCTAGGCTGCCTGTCGACATGCCCACTTCGGCCAGTAGGATGGATGACTTTACCTTCGTGCCCGTTAACATCACTCCACCTAGGATCTTATCTGTACTCTGTTGAGGTCGTAATCAGATATTGTAGAAATATTTCGAGTCTGCAGAGGGATACGATATGACGATGCTGATAATATGACCATTCTAATCGTTCTGACCAGTTTTTCATGACCTACTCATCCTTTGCTTTTCCTCTTCCCCTTGCCGCTCCACGCCTCAGCCGCACAATTCTTGCTCTGAGAGCCAACCGTCCAGTCCGCCGTAGTCCCAATTCGTTCGCTCGCGCCGCTAACCCGCCTTGGCAATGATGGTCGTGCTGGACCCCCGGTCAACAACGTGGTGTCATTTGGATTTCCCGATTTTTATTATTCCGATTTTTATTCTATACGAGGAATTTCCCCCTTTTTTTTTTTTTTTTTTTCTTCTGATTATTTTAGGATGGGCTTATGCTTGATCATCCCGAGCGATCATCGCCTCCACGCCCGTGCTTGGTTCCCTCCCTCATCTAACGTTAGGAAAGATAATTATGGGTATTTTTGGAACCTCGTGAATTTACTCGGATTTTATTCTTTTTTATTTTATTTTATTTTTTATTCTTTTTTATTATTTTCCATTTTCTGATGCCATCTTATTTCCCATTTTGATTTTAATTTGAGAAGTCTAGTAATCCGCTGGGAGATCGGTAGGAACAGCCCTGCTAGTGCTATCGTCGTGCCTCTATATCAGTCCACTCTCCTCCGCTCTTCTTCATCCTCTTCTGCAGTTTCAGTTTCAGACTTCCTCTGCAGCCTTCTTCAGACTCCTTCAACGCTCTTCTTCAATAACATCACTCGGTCTTGAGCCTCCAATTCTATAAATCTTGCCTTCCTCCCCCCCCCTCCCTCGACTCCCCTCCCATCCTTTCCTCCACAGGATGGCCCGAGGATCCTCACAGGAGCGCAAGACCATTCACCGCAACAGCGCCTCTCTATCTTCCAACCACATCATTTCTGTCTTGAACAGCCCTGCCACCTCGACCTCGCCTTCTCCCGAACCTCACCAAATTTCAGCATCCATCATGGTGGGCCGCAAGAACACTATGCGCCGCAGCCCTCAGACGGAGGTTCCGCTGCCCGTTACATACACCCCCACCACCCACCGCATTAGCAAGGCCAAGAAGGGCAAGCGAGTACATGCTTGCGAGTATCCCGGTTGCAACAAGGTATGCGCTCGTTCTGTCCAAAGTATTGCGCGCAATGGAGGCTGACTCTTTGATCCGCATAGGTCTTCACCCGCGCCGAGCACCGGAGACGTCACGAATTGAACCACAACCCAGAGGCTTCTTACCGATGCACACACCATGGCTGCAAGAAGGCCTTCCACCGACCAGACCTACTTGCGCGCCACATGGAAAGACAGTGAGTTTGAAATGTCCCCCAATTGTGCAAATGCGAAGATTAGCTAATGAGTCAATTGCGCGCCAGTGAACTCGAGTCACAGCCTGAACAGGCCCAATGGACTCCCCAAACTTCGGCTACCCTTGTGAACGACTCGGCCTCTATCCCACGCTGCATGCCCATGGACGGCGGAAGTATGATGGCTGCTGCATCGCAGCAGTCGCACTCTATGTCTATCGGTTCTATTGTGGCTCCCGGTATTCACCCGGACCTCGCCAACAGCTGCTCTCTGATGTGGAATGGTATGGATCTGCCTCTGCAGCCTCGCCCAGCGGTCAACCTGTTCCAGAATCAGCTCCCCGAGTCCGCCGATGACAGCCCCTTCTACTCTTCGCCCGCAGAGACCTGCCCTTCGCCTCTATCGGACGTTGCCTTCTCAATGCCTCCTCACTCCAGCTCCATCTCCTCCATCTCCTCAGCCGGTACCTCCATTATTGACCACTACCCCAAGGGTATGTTGAAGGCCGATGTGACCTCCTCCCCACTCCAGATGCACTCGCCTTTGCGATGGGACGGCTCCGACACGGGCATGCCGCCTTCTCACCTCGTGCCGATCTCGCTGGAGGAGAACCTAATCCAGCCGCCAGTCCAGTGCCACTACCCTTCTCCGTCGTGGTCTAGCGCGGACTGCCTGCCTTACGACGAGCAGATGCACTCATTGACCCACTTCCAGCCGATGAACTGGAAGCAGTGGACAATGTGAACGGATCACGCCTGATTGCACCTTTGATCGAGTCGCCCTCCACGAGGACCACGGGCCACGCTCGGTATCGCACGACGGATGACCTCTTTCTCTCCCCCCTGCTTCCTGGCTGCTAGCTGCTAGCTGCGTCTCGAGTCGATGGGTCGCAGAAGGCACCATCAAAAATGACTCTCACCTCTCATCCTTTAGTTCCCTCCCCCCCCCACTGGAGGCGCGGTGACCCGCCGCTGCCCCTCCCTAATTATTCCGCAAAAAAAAAAAAAAAAAAAAGGAAAAAAAAAAAAAAAAAGAACACTCTGGGCTCGCTAAATGCGCCAACGAACAAAGGAAAGAGAGAAGGTTGCAAGCGACGTGCAGAGTCTGGATTCCTCGCCCACACACCTACCGCTCCACTCCCATCTTCAACAAAACAATAGGAGGTGCCGGGGGGCACGAAAGGCCACCATGCTATTCGCAGGTCGGGGAACACCGGCCCCAAGCGTCTCGAGGCGCGACCGCGGAGCGACTTCTAGTGGAGAAGCTTCGGTTCGGGCAAGCGGCTCCACTCCAGAGCCCTTTTGTACCGAAGAAACAGCAACCAAAACAGAAAGAGAGAGAGAGAGAGAGATAGAGCAGCCGCGAAAAAGAATATCTTTTTTCCTTACCAATTGCTGCATTGTTTCAACTTTTGAACTCTTTGGGATAGAGTTTTCATGGTGTTTATGAGTTCTCGGTGTTTGGCATCCTCTTTTTCGCTGATGATTTGATGTTGATTATGCATCTCTTGTGTCTTTTGTGTTTGTTTGACACGATTTTTCTTTGCTATTTCTCCTTTTCTTCTCTTTCCTTTGTTGTATACCCATATGTACCCTCCCCCCATGCCATGTGTTACTTGGTGTCTGATATACGAATACCCTCAGTCGACTGTACATACTTCAACTTGACTCTGCACATACTTCAAGACAAATGGACATACAAATTCTGATCCAACCCATATTTCTCTACCCTCCTTGCTAGTAGTAGTTCATAGTAGTCTCCTGCTAGTAACCAAACACAAGTACTTATCTCTAAGCGACCCGACCTATCCTCTCCGACGGAGGCTCCCCGGAAGCGCCGACCCACAGAGCCGCACAGCATCACTTCGTTCCACCCAGCACCATACTTGCCTGTTTAAGGTGGAGGGCCTATTCAGAAACTCTATTACTCTACCAAGAATCCCGTTTATCCAGCCAGAAACAGACAACGTACGATTCCGGTTCGGATCTCAAACTCTTTCACAATTCCCTCTGATAGGTGGTGTTCGCCTGAGTTCATCCGCACTACGAGCCGTGGTTCGGCAGATCGCCCAAGGCCACCACGGTCGGCGGGCGCGCCACGATGTGGAATCGTGGAGAGTTTCATGCGCGCGAACCCAGTACATGAAGTTACGACACCTACGCCTGCCCGCTGTCTTCCGCAAAGACTTAGTCTTGCTATAGCCGCTCCCTCGTGATCGGCTCTCGGCATCACGGCATCGTGAAATAGGGGGTTGATCAGAGTTTGTGAACCTTGCCAGCAATGACTGGACGCGGTTGCGCCAAGAACGTCTTAGGTCACTTTCAGGGAACTGTGGTTAATCTAATAGACTTCCACCTTGGTAACTAACTACTGGAGTTCTTTAGTTAATTAGCTAATTAGTGTTACTTGTTCACTCTGCTAATTACTAGCTCGGCTTTAAGAAAGATGTCATTCTGCCTTGATTGTTGATGGCACCTAGTATAGATGTAGTTGGTGGGAGGTAACTGTAGTATCTTGACAGAGTTACTAACACTTAACCGAACAGACTACTCCTGAACTATTAGCCCTTAGCCAGCCTGGCCTAGAATTGACAAAGGCCACGGCGACGCCGACCCCGACACTGATCAAGGTAGGGCCTGACAGCCCTGACCAGATAATCAAGATCCTTCGTCCCCTGGAAATGGTCCCCGATCTACGCAGTACCGATCACCCGATGACCTCGTCGAAGGATTTCTGAAGGAAGCGATACCAAGTCTAGAGTCCGGACCTGGACTATACCCTCCACCCCCTGAAACTCCTCGCTAATCTTAATTAGCGAAGAAAACAGCTAAGCGCAAACAATCCCTTCCCCAATTTTCTCCCCCTGTAGGAACCCCCCCAGTCCCTTAAACCCGATCGGCCGAAGAAAAGAGGCGTTCGCCAAAACAGCTCCCCCACCAATCCTCATTTCATTTCCTCATTTACCAAAGAAAGCTCGGACGTCGGTCGATCTCCGCGTCGGGTCTGGGCCGGACCTTTCCATCAAAAATCTCTCCTACGACTGGCTGGAAATGTTTGTCTGAACCATGAGGTGATGGTATGGAGAAGGTATGGAGAAGGGGGGGATCTAGAATGCTGAAATGGAAATGCTGGTACTCCGTAGTACCCAAACGGATTAAATTAGGTTAAATAATTCGATTGTCATTTATTGCAACTGGATGAGCGGCACAAACGGGCGTCATGGCTTCATGGCTTGCCCCACGAGTCGCGAGTCATTCACGTTGATTTAATTCCGGATTTATGAAAATATACAAAAAGAGCTATCCCGTTACGGATTACTCCATAGGAGCGTAGGGCACGGAATTGACGTAGCTCACGAGTCGGTCAATGATCGCAGGGTCGCCGTCGTTGTACAAACTGCGAGGCCATGAGGGAGACGGAATTCCCCAAGCACAGGGCAGTTGCCAACTCGATTCTCCCCCCCCCCCCCCCCCCCCCCCCCCCCCCCCCCCCCCCTCCCAGTGCCCCTAACTCCGAGCTCCTAACTCCTCCCAACGGAAGTCCCATTTCTTTTCAAAGTCAATATCCAATGCCCGGTGAGGTCCGATCGAAGACTCCCCTTCTGACTCACCGCGTGCGAGTGCACGCCTAACCCCTGGTTAGTGGTTAGTGGCTAACCCCAGTTGCCTCCTCATGCATCATCGCCCTTGGTTCCGAGTCGGGTAAACGGTGCGGGCATCGATTTATTGGTGTCATCGTCATTGCGCCCGTTCCATTGCCCGTTGAACCCCCCCCCTAATTGCAGGACTTCACTCTTAACCCACTTATCACGATTTCTTGCCAAGTCACCTGCCTAAGCACCCCAGCAAGTTCACCTCTAGGGCTGAGAGCCCCACGGATTAATTAGGCAGCTCACAACTTCTGCCTACAGTAATTTGCGAATTCAGTGTGACCTCATTCACACTCTTTCGACTTGATTTCGGAAAATGAATCCTAAACATGCGAGTTCTGATTTGGATGTTATTTGAAATGCATTGAACTACTGTAGACCGCATTCTACAATAGTCTATGTATCTTACAACTATGTCTTCAGTACCCTGGATATGATACTTTACACGAAATTAGCGGACATTCCATGTTGGAGACACAGATACCCCTTTCAATCCTACATCCCAAGCGGCGGAGGGACTGAATACAAAATGCCTATCGATGAAATTGTCAACCGACAACCCAAACCACCCTAGGGAGAACTTCGTATTGGAAGTCTACTTTCTCTCCGAATAGGACAAACCTCACCCAGATCCCTCACAATCCTGTTCGCCATTCCTCGCGTTAGGGTTCGAAGGCAGATAGGTATATACCTCCTATCATACTGAATTACTACTGCAGTGCTGCCCAACTAGTCGAGCCGTGACCCGAAAGAGAATTAGCATATCTCGCATTTATTTTCTAGCAATCAAGTCGAAATAGTATAAGGTCAAACTGAATTCGAAAACTACTGTAGCACCATGCTTTACTGCAGACTCAACCCTGGTACTGCGTATACCCTGCAAGTATTGTATGCACCGGACTGTCCTTAGGCGACCCGACCCGTTTTTGGAACACTTCCTCGAAACGGGCTCGGGTATCGAAGGCCGTGATAGGTGGTGGTGGAGGGCCGGACCGCGTGAAATCGCGCCCGTCGCGCATCGATCGGCGCTGGTCTGGTCGTGGTTTTGGACTGTGCTTTGACTTGAGTCTTGCCCCGTGGAATGCTGTGTCGATCAGGGGTGGGTCTTGTCTTGTCGCGAGGCTCTTTTGAGAAGATGGGGGAATAGGTTTTTGAACTGTTGCCCAATGTTTGACATGGTTGCTTAATTTGAATAATGTCAGGTTAAACTCGATTTTGGAATTTCTGAGTGAAATAAATTTCTGTTTTTGGGCAGTGGGTGTTTAGGTTTGGTGTTGGTTTTGGCGTTGCGGGCGGCTGGTGGGTTACGGCTGGTGGAGAGAACCAGCCTTGGAGACTTTTGTGGATAGCGTTGGTTGCTCTACATCTTCTCGTGCTTCTTCTCGTAACGGGGAAGAATAGACCGTTTAATTTGCGCTCTGAGTTGTCTGGATTTCATCCTGAAGGGCTCCCCGAGGCAGACAAGAAACTATGCCTTCATTATACTCAACCTGGCTGATCCCATCAAGAAAAAAAGACTTGTCCTCAAGGCGCCTTCCTTTGTTGAAAGGCTCAAGTTGGTCAGATTTAGTTCAGTCAGCAGCAAATTATGGGCCAATTGCATGTCACACTTCCCCATCAACAGAGGCAACCGGGACAACTAGCCCTCATTTACTTAGACCACACCATGACAGGAGTTACGTGTTCTTCGGTGTAGATTTTTTGCAGCAGAAACTTCAGTTTGCATCAATTATCGACCATCAACTGACTGCCCCCTAGTATACACATTTAGGGAGCGATAATAGTCTGCATACCCGGACCACCCATCTCAGCAGCCGTGTCAAAAGCAGTCTCAAACTCCTCCAGCGAAAACGAGCCAGCCGTCTGAATACCCCCAACCTGACCAAGCTTCAGATACCCAGCCTCAGCTAGCTGAATCATAAATCTTATGTCCTGCTTCGTGTACATGAATTTGCACTTGAGGTTAATATCATTTTGAAACATCGCCATAATAGGCAACGTCAACTCCATGAATGCTCCCATAAGACTGACTCGACCTCCACGTCCCAATGCCTGGATGCAACTGGTAAAGTGTGTGCTTTTAGCTGCTTCTTCCGGCGATATGTCGAAGAAAACGTCGGCGGGACCAAATTCGGTCAACTCTCGGACGTCTTGAGCCACGTCGCCGGTGATCTGGACTGTCCTGATTCTTCCCTCGGGACTGAGAGACTTTACCTTCTTCAGTGCATCGAGATTTCTTCCCACGGCGATAACTTGCGCTCCCATGGCTAGCGCAGCTAGAACGGCGGCACTGCCAAAAGCACCCGTCGCCGGCGCGATGATGACTTTTTCACCAGCCCGAACGTTCACATTCCGAAGGCCTCCTATGGGAACGGCCAACTTGGACAAATACGACAAGTCCGCCTTAGTATAGCCGAAACCACCATCCGCAGGGTCGCCGAGAAGTCTCCGCTCGTCCAAGGGAAAGCAGTTCTCTAACGGCACCTTGGAGTACTCGGCGTATGTACCGTTCCGCCACTCATTTTCCATAAGCCTGTTACTTCCGGGATCGAACCCATAATATAGGCCATGAAGAATCAATGAATTGGGATCGTCACGCCCATGAATATAACAGTCAAAGTATACCAGCTGGCCCACTTCGAGCGTCGTCGCGTCTGGACCGACTGCTGCGACTCGAGCAATGGCAGAGGCGCCAGGCACGAAGGGGGTAGGATATGGGTAGGGCTTGCGGCCGCTGAAAATTTCTCTGGCGTATGACAAGACGGCTGCTCCGAGGATTTTTATGACCGCACTGCCTGGTCCGGCCTGTGGTGTGGGCTGCTCGACGACGGAAATATCGTACGGGTCTCTTGTCGAATTCAAGTAGAGCACCCGATGCATTTGGGGAACAGCCAATGTGGATTCTTGAGCCATGATGCTTGACTTGGTTCTCAGTGGTGAGGAATATCCTCGTAGCTATAAGCCCATTTGCGGGGTCGACACCTCATATTTATACTCTTCATTCTCGTATCGACTTATTGTTTGACCTTTGAGGAGCCCTGGCTTTTTTAATCGGTGGCGCTTGATTCTCGTATAGAGAAGACCACAGACATAGAGCGGAGATATCATTATCGCCGGAATCTTTACATCACAGCATTATACTCACGACTTAAATCCGGATTTAGACCAGAATTGCAGTATCCATGCAAATCGTGGCCTATGAATTCTATTCTCGGATGGAATCAATGATTCAAAAATTCAATGAGCAAAATATGACATCTGATGGTATTTGCTTACCGATCTTTGTTAGCACCAGCCCCTCGTTAACGAGGGACAATGTTGGGAAGTCGGGTTCAAAGTGTCTTGTCCACTCAGATTATCTTCAAAAAGCACATTTTCCGACCTTATATTGCATATCATGAGATAGTGGGAATGACATCAACGTTGTTGGGATGTAGAAACGTTCGTGCTGATTCCCGCCGCCCCAGAAATTTGCACCCCAAGATTAACACTGCTCAATACGAATGTCAGAGTTTGTGGCTCAATTTGGCGTCAACGCGTCGCTGAGTGTTACAGTGGCTTATCTCCGCTATTTGTCCGACACGCTTGAAGAGCAGCAGCTCCAAGAATATACGGAGGTGAAATGTTATAAATCTGTACGGTGTTCCTGCTACACACCCTCAAAATCATATTCAGGTCAACTTAAAGCGGAGGGAAGATCTCTCTGCCTAGATGGGACTAATTCAGAGTATTCTGTTTGTACAAGACTTGAAGTCCCCTTCTTGCCTGCTCCTGGAGGTCACTGCGCTGGTTACTTCGTATCGCGATACGATTGCTACTAGACTATCAACATCGATCGCTTCAAGTACCTACCGGATGGGTCTAGCAAGCGAGTAATAGGTCCAAATTTCAACTAAACTCGTACTAGACCTTGCCTGTATTGGTCATATGTACCGAGATACCTTCTTACACTATCTTACTATTATATGTAACCCATATCCTCTCTCAACCCGTGACCGTGGGATAGTATATCGGACTAATAACAGTGTACCCTAACAGCTCTCATTTTGCCTACACTCGATCAGCACAAATACTACTATTCTTCAACCTGCTATATGGAGGCTTTAAAGGAGATTAGATGTTGTAAGCTGTGTATATGTCTCATCAGCTCATAAGCCTTCGAGATATCTCATATTTGAGAATACTTCTGTATAAATGATTAAAAAAAAAGAGTATCCCTCGAGACAGGTCACTTGTTAATGTTTAGCTACAGCTCGTTGAGATCTTGATTCCGCTCGCATCATATTCTCATGGCAGTCACGGTGGTAAAAGAACTGTCAAAGAATGTCCCAAAACACGAGGGCGCCTTCATTTTACCATAAGTGCTACCAGGGCCCTCATAAAGCCTGTCTTTCTCTAATCATTTTCTGGCCTCATTGAACCGGGGTATCACGTGCCATGGTGACTGACACCGGACGGGCGGGCACCCTTTTGTTCCGTCCCACCACCACCATCATCGAGCGCCCTAAGGACAGCTACTATTGAAGCCGCTTTCATGATTGGGGATTCGACCAACTCCCCTGACGGATCCGAACATCAAGTGGGACTGCGACGTCGCCAGAGACGAGTCCAAGTAGCCAGAGCGTGTGATGCTTGTCGACTTCGTCGCATCAAGTGCGACAATGGTGTGCCATGTTCAAAGTGCATAGCACGGGGCCACCACTGTAGTAATTCTGGGACACCCAAGGCATCAACTCTCACTGAAGCCTCCGAGGAAATTGCGCGCCTTAAGCGGAGAATTCAGCAATTAGAAACAGAACTCAAGCAGCAGGCTTCCGACCATCACCATCTTCCAAGTCCAATAGGGTCCTCACCATCGCTGTACTCGGCGCCTGTATCCAGAGAAGAGCATTCCAGGCCCGTCTTGAAAAATTACTGTGGTGGAATCCAATTTCGACCAGCACGCTCCTCCAACGAATCCTGGTTCGGCCCATCGTCGCTATATTCATTCATCCAGCGCCTTAGCGATTTCCTCAATCTCAAACTCAAGAAAGAACACTCTGTTCACCATTTACACCCTGTATCACCCAGCAACCACAAACTACTAAACGTACCGGAAGGCAACCTTCATGGAAATACGAGCCATCCTGGGGCGCTCCCAGCTGGAGATGTCCCCACTGAGGGGGTTTACCTGAGTCTCATACAAGAGGAGTATATTATCAATCTTTTCTGGCAGAGCTACCACACCTCACTGTCTCCAATCGTGGATGAGACGCAGTTCAAGAAACACTATCAGTCTCTCTTGGTGAATAGCGGCCAGGATCGGAAGCCCTCAGCTCTTGTCGATGTTATAATTGCTATGTGCATGCAATATGCAACTTCCACGATGCCTGTAGAGACCCAGGGACTCCTCGTCGATGGCAGGGATGCGCTAGTTGCGGGTCGATGGCACTATTGGCGCGGGCAAAAGCTGCTCACACTTGAGCTTGACAGCCCATCTTTGTCAACACTACAATGCCACCTACTTTGCGCCGTCTACATCTGTGGTGGCTCGTTCCATAATATGATGGACAGTACCGTAGGACTAGCTGTGCGCACAGCCTATATGCTTGGCCTACACCTGGACCCTCCATCGACCATGCCCGAAAAGGACCGCGAGATGCGCAGGCGTTTGTGGTGGGCAGTCTACCTTATGGACAGTAAAGCCGGGATGAAGCTTGGTCGTCCCTTCATGGTGTCTCACTCCTACGCCATGCCATCTCTCCCCAGTGACACTCTTGAGGCCGCCGCGAGCTCAGGATCCATGTTTATTCCTATCGGACAGAATGCCACTTGGCTGAGCTATAATCTCCATACGGTCCAGCTTTACATCAAAATCCGGAGAGCCTACACGGACTTTTATGAACAGGGCATATTTCTACAAGGAGATCAGAATTTATGGGCTGATCATGAAGCGCAAAACTCCAGCGCGGAGGTTTTGATGGCACACACTCGGAGTTTCCATGAATGGGTTGATGGTGTTCCCGAATCTCTCAAGCTGAAGCGTCAAGTCAATGGCCTCCCTTTGTCCACGGATTTCACCTCAGTAGTACTTGAGCCATTTACCCCACCTTGGCTGCAACGGCAGCGTTTGCTCCTCGAACACACATACCATCATCTCAGCGTAAATCTTTATCGACATTCCATATCTTTCAGCTTGAAACCACACACCGGGTCAATTGCAGAAGAACTCGCCATGAGATGCGCTTCCCACGCAATAATGTTGACGACAATAACGCATCAGGCGCTGACCGAGTCATCAATTCTGGACGGATGGCACGAAGCCTTCTTCTGCCAGTGGAATGCAGTTATGACTCTTGTGGGATTCGCAATGTTGTTTCCGACCTCAACATTATACAGCAAGGCTAAGCATGCAATCGAATTGGCAATCTTGGTTTTTGATAACTTTGGTGCCAAGTTCTTTGTTGCAGCAAACGCAGCAAAGATCGTCCGTGAATTATCTGTCAAGATTGAGGCCCTCGCCAAGTCCAGCCTGCCTGAGTACGACAATGCGCCCATCTCCGAGGACTTTGAAGCGAACCCCTCATCTTCATTGTTCGTTGACCATGCCATGCCAACACAGGGTCTTTTCGATGTTCCAGATCTAAGCTTGTTTGATATGGCCGTCGATATTGATTTCTGGAATAGTGTCGATACACTATGGCCTGATCTTGATATCTCGTCTCAATTTCAAGCGGAACTATGAGAGACAAATAGTCTAGAGCCTTTGAAAATATAATTGCCACTGGCATACTGAACCTCCACAAAAGTCTCTTTTATTGAGCCGAGATCCAGGCGACCTCTTTTTTTACCATGCTGGGTTCCATTTTTAGGACTGAACTGTGTCTTATAGGAACGATTCCCTTGTTCCAATTGGGTTTAATAACCGATCAAGATCGCTTGTCTACTGCAAAGCACAGATACGGCGTTTTTCTAGCCATAATTGAAGTATTCTTGACATAGAACATGTTCGCGCAATAGAACCCAGGCGGTCATCTTTCTGGCGAATTTGACGTGCTTGTCTTCACACTCGCTACATAGGCTAAGTGATCAAGTTGGGAAGTTGATGCATGCAGTTCTAGGCCGACCCAGAACTTATAATTAAATCTTCCTCTACTAGTCCTCTACTAGGTAGTTACTCGTCTATGGTTATTAATTATCCGGCGGTAAATTCTCCTAGATCGTCTTGATGTTTTGGTGGAAACACGGAGTTACGGACAGGACACATTTGCTTAGTTGTACTTTACAAGGCAAGCCTAGAAGCGAGAAGCCCCGGAAGGAAAGACATTGATTACCAGCGCAAACATGATTGGATACTGATTGGACTTGATAGATTAAATGTGACGTAGGCTTCACATATTGAACCGCAGATAATCGGGCTTACCTAGCTCCATATGCAGTGAGCCGGAGCTGCGGAGTTGCGGAGTGACGGAGTCACGGAGTCACGGAGTTGAGCTGAGCCTCCAAATCATAGATGAGACGATCTATAAATTGCAGTGCCATCTGCACTTCTGACCATCAGATTCACACAGCATCACAGTTTCTCTCTACTAAAAGAAGCATCTACACCTCCTATCACTCCAATTTCTTCATTTTCAAAATGTCTCCCGCTCGCAAGGCCCTCATCAGCATCACTTCGGCCCAGGCCACCCTCTTCCAGGGCAAAGAGACAACCGGACTCTTCATCAGCGAAGCTCTTCACCCATTCAATGTCCTCACTGCCGCCGGCTTTGAAGTCGATCTTGCCTCTGAGACTGGAAAATACACCGCGGACTGGCTCTCACAACAGCCAGATTTCCTCAACGGCGATGATCTTAAGACCTGGAACGATCCCAACAGTGCCTTCCGCCAAAAGTTGGATAACATGCCCAAGGCCGCCGACTTGGATAAGTCTCAATATGGTCTCTTCTATGCCTCTGCGGGTCACGCTGCTTTAATTGATTACCCGACCGCATCTTCTTTGCAGAAGATCGCCGAAGAAGTCTGGGCAAACGGTGGTGTCGTTGCTTCTGTGTGCCACGGCCCTGCTATCTTTGCCAATATTCTGGATAAGTCAACCGGTGAGCCTATTATCAAGGGCAGAAAGATCACTGGGTTTACCTCTGAGGCCGAGGACACCATGGGAATTATGGCTGAGCTTCGGGCTTGGAATTCTGAGATGGTCGAGGAAGTTGCCTCACGACTCGGCGCTATCTGTGAGTCATGCTTTAACTTTGAAAAAATTGTGAACTTTAAAGGAATCGAGGAACTAATTCACATTTAGATGAGCGCTCCGCTGGAATTTGGGATGACTTTTACGTTGTTGATGGCCGTCTGGTGACCGGCCAGAACCCCGCCAGCGCCTCGTCAACTGCAAAGGCTGCGGTTGCCGTCTTCGAGACACTGTGATTCAATGCTTGTCAAAACATGTATAGCTCTAGCTCTCTATGCAGGGGTTGAAACGTTATCTTGATGCGTTGCTCTTTATCCGCAAGCGAATCTATTTGACAGGTGCACAGACACATTATTCGGAGCGAGACCGCGGTGAACTAGCATTTAAATTACTGTATGAAAGGCATTCAGAATATCGATAACCATGAGCAATTTCCCTTCATAAATAGGCTATCTACAGTAATAATTGGGTTTAACGACAGCTGCGTGGTCCACTGTCTCGTCAACACTGCTACTTAGCCGCTACGTGTTCGTCGCCTTTGTTTTCGATTCTTCTTAATTATAACTCAATGGACTGTGCCTACTGCAAGACTTACTATATTTCTTGATTGTGCATAGGCGCCCATATTGGCCCCATTTTCCTCTCAGCGCCGTTGGTCCAACCAAACGAGGAAAACTAGCGCCAACAGAGGGTGAGCCTCATCAAGTTCTAGTCCCACTGGACCTATCTCTATTTGGAAGAATGTTGAAAGCCTTGCCTAGATTGCGAGGCCTAGATAAAGCTGTACAGATTCTCTCACCTTTTCCTTCTCCATTACATTTCAATATTTCGTCTTCTCCTATCCTACCACAGTTGCTACCACCAAGCCGAAGATGCCACCCGCAAGCTTGCTAATTACGAGCTTTGACTTCACACAGGTCAATAGTCTCAAGGATAGAATGTATCAAATTATCATGGATGGCTCCCTGTTCTCTTTCGTCTCGGTATTTTTCACCGAGACATTGCCGGAATGGTTAACCAAAATTTGGGAATGGCTGTTACGTCCTGGTGAGCAGAACTAACTCCAGGCCTGACACTGGGTATGATACTAATAGGCATGAAAGACATTCTCGCAATCATTACTGCATGGTGGATTACCTTTACGGTAGTCATGATCCTCGTCTTTTGCGTGGGATTTGGTTCTGTGGGCATTGCTGCAGGTCTGGCAAATCCGCTTGTCAAAATAAGCGCCGAACACCCCCCCCCAAGCTAATTCGTTTCAACAGGCTCCGCAGCCGCAGCTTTTCAATCTTGGATGTATGGTGGCTTTACTCCTGCCGGTGGTCTCTTCGCCACTTTGACAAGCACGGCGATGGTCGGTTTGTTGATACCGTCGTCCGTGATACCCGCTTCTATTGTGGCTACTATAGTTGCTGTGATAGTGTGGAGATTAGGAATGGAGTAGCGTGATGAGGAGAGAAGTAGCTGGGTGGGCAAATGATTTTATGTGGAATATGATGTCTATAATGCGTGCGAGTCATTCAGTGGTAGCTCAGGATTCAGATGTTGGTAGCTGGTGAAGCAAACAAGGGGAAGCAGCCTGCGAGAACTATAGCCAATCGCCGTGATATCCCTAATGAGACATCTATTTAACATGCTGTCTTGTGCATTGGTTGGAAGTAGAATAGGTTTGAACATCTGCGATGAATCCAATTGCCTTTGCTATGTTGTATACATCCCCAACCGATGAAAAACCTTAATCCTCTTCGTCCTCGCGGGGATCTCTTATCGCAGCCAAACCGGGCAAAGGGGGAAAAAGTGGGGGAATGTCATCATCGCCCAATCTCACCAGCTTCAAACCGACTCTGTTACTTTTCAAAAACTCCCATCATATCCTTTTCGTCCACGGGACCTGGCCCATTCGTTAGTCACCACTCCTCCGTCCCACAAGGCGCAATAATCATCGCCCCGAAGAACGGAGAATCAAATCCCTCAAAGTCGCACATCATCCGACTCGGAACGCGACTGCCGCTCTCCAACAAGAACCACATTTCCTCCGCACGAAACCCACCGGGACCTATAAAACGCCCACATCGGAGGAGATCTCCAAAGATCTTTCATCTTATCTGATGTGCTGATTGATCTAATCCTGCAACAAGCCTCCGATGGCAGTAACAGCATGGTGGTGTTTGTCGACCTAGATCGTGATGACTCCTTCTCCGAGCATCAGCATCACGCATCCGCGTTGTCTTTGGAGAAGCCCTTCCCGCCTAAACTGACGGTCGCACCCATTGCGATCACCGAGTCATCCGAACTCTTACCCTCGCCTACCTCGTTCGACGAGGACCGCGAGGCAGACTCGACGGATCCCCTAGCGAACAAAGCGACCGAGTTAGAGAACCCGAATCGGAATGCCTTCTCGGCCGCCTTGAGCTGCTACCCGTATGTGGATCCCTAGCGCGTTCTTCCCCACGTAACCCGTTACTCACACCGACCACCCCTTCTATAGCATCGTCAAGGAAATCGCTCGCGCCGTCGATCTCAATACCCTCCACGCATTGTCTCGAACATGTCGCCAGTTCCACGTCAACCTGGCGCAGTTCCGGCACCAGCTCGTGCGCGAGACACTGCGCTGTGAGAATGAGTATATCGAGACCGTCGCAGATATGCTGGACGGCAATGCCATTATTCCGAACAGTGTCAAATCGGTGCTGCAGCTGCTAAGCCAAAGCAGTGGCGAGCCAGGCCGTATGTCGCGTGGAAAAGTGGGTAGATGCGCACGCGACATGGTCGGCGAGTGTCGACGCTGCAGCAAGGTCGTGTGCAGGGTATGCTCTGCTCAAGCATGCTCAAGCATGACTCGGAGTGTAAGCCAGATGATAACTAACTCGATATAGAATTGCACGATCAAACCCCCTTCCCAGACCGCCATGAACGGCCGCATCCGTCGTCTTTGCCAACCCTGCCGTACAGCACCGCTCTCCCACCACCTATCCCATGCGGCCCTCGATATGGACATCTCTGATACTGGCAACCAAGTCACCGTGGCGGGAGAAGTTGCACGCAGCACCGGAATATGCAACTGCAACGACGCCCTTTGGCTGTGCCAACAATGCGGGCAGACCCTGCGCAGTAACGACACTACGTACCGTCGTGTCTGGGCCTGGCGCACCCGATACAGCACATACCTCGGTGGTGGACTCGGCACCGGCATTGGCGAGGGCAGCCAAGGCGTGAAGTGCGGTCGTGGCGACTCATGTCTCGCCGCGAAGGAGATCGAGCTGGAGGTCGACTGCGAAGTGGACGAAGGGGTGAGTGATACCAGTAGTCCCGGCCACAGCCCTCCCAGTCACCCGTCGTATCATCACGAGCTGGTCTCGTCGGATAGTCACGATGACGAGGAACCGGGGTACTTCCGACAGGAAGTTATTGGGTTGGGTGGGCTGATGAAGCATAAGGCTAAGAAGAGGGTTATGGTGGGTGCTTGTGTGGTGGAGTATGAGCATGAGCGGGAGTCGGGGAGTTATCTTTTGCACGAGGAGAAACGCTTGCATCGGGCATGGTGTGGATGGTGTTCGAGGGTGATTCCAGCGTCTAATGAGGGTGTGTTTGGGTAATGGCAATGGTACTGGTAATGAGTTGGGTGTATAGCTTGCATCCTGGGGTATATTTCGGATTCAGTGCATCATGGGCGACTTGCATAGTCTAGATTTTGATGGCGACGAGTGTATATACGGGCATTCTGTCTGCACAGCGTAGTCAACGAATGAATGTGCATTGTCGACAGAGTCTAGATAAACGGAGTTTACTCGAGGGTTGGAATCACGGATATACTGATCGTCAATAAATTTGTCAGGACAACCTGACCATTTATCTCCACTTCCATGAATTGAACCCTTGACCTCTGGCTGCCATACAAATTCGTGTTGTGGTCACGATGAACCTCATCCAAATGCTCACACGCTTCAAATCCTTCTTCTATCCCAACAATCAACCCTTATCAAATCGCTTGAATGAGTCTATAATTCTCTCCCAGCTAATCTGATTCTAATGGTATAAATATCATATCAAAAAAGCAGGAAATAGTGTTGTGGCAGAACAGTATCAAACCTCACGAGCATAAAAAGAAAGACCCCCCACGCCGGACCTACCGTGGGGTGCGTACACTCGACCTCGGACTATGCGTGTCAGGCTCGTCAGTTCCAGGCCATGACCGCTAAGCCAACAGAGCGCGGGGTTGCAATTTTCAAGGAGGAAGTTAATCATAACCCTTCTTAGGGAGATGCTGAGCCACATTTCCGCTTTGAATTCCTTGTCCTTGGGATTCGGATTAATAAAACAATCTCCACTTCCTTGATAGTAAGACATGAAAGCAAACAAATTGGTGGCTATATTTAACAGTCTGGATGATAGAGCTTAGTCTCATCATGACATGAAAAGACAATACTCCGGAAATGCTCGCTCTCCTCCATGCAACCATAACATCATACATCTCTGATATCGCATATTTCAAAAAGTTTCATCACATATTATCATCAAATACCAAATTTCACAACAAAGTTACCTCATGCGGAATGAGAATCAATTGTACTCGGTTTAGTGAGCGACAATAGCTCTTAGGAAGCCCTTCAGCTTAGACTGTTCTCGAGGTGGAGACTCCTCACGCTTGTGCCGGCGATGAGCACGAACATCTTTGTCCTTGCTGCTCTGGTGTGGGCGACGAGAGCCTTCGGGTTTTTTCTCGCTGTCCTGGGGCTTGCTGACCTCGGCCTCAACGGAGCTGCGTCGTCGAGTCTTCCTCTCCCGACGAGCAGACTCGTCTTCGCGTCGAGAGTGAGTCTTGTCAGACCGTCCGCTGGATCGCTTCTCCTCATTTGAAGAACGCTCAGGGTTACCACTGCTATGACTCTGGCTCGTGGAGGAACGGCGGGGCTTCTCAGTAGCTGGTGCCGCAGGCTTGGCAGTTCCGTTGGGGCGCACGATGAGTCCATTGGTGTTGGTCATGGGAGCATTGCTCATGTATCGCAAGTAGGCGCGAGGTTTGGGAGCAGAGGTAGATGCCTGCTTTGAGGACGAGGAAGTCTTGGATGATTTGCTTGGCTCAGCTTCGGACGAGCGACGCTTAACCTTTGGCTTGGGCTCGACCTCAACAGCAACTACCGGCTGTTCTTTCTCCTTTGAAACCTCCAGCTTCTCCTTAGAGGAAGTACTCTTGGATGACTTCACAGACCTATCGGATGGAGGAACACCGCTGCGCTCCTTGTCTTCGGCTATGGCCTGCTGCTTGGCTTCCGCCCTCTTCTTCTCCTCGTGCTGTTTGCGTGCCTCTTCCAAAGCCTTTGCCCAGCGGTTGGTGAACAGACCGCGCTCGCTCTTCTGCCGCTTGAGCAGCTCTTTCTTCTGTCCTTCCGAGGAAGTTTTGGAATTTCGCCGCTCACGTTCAGTGACTGGACGCTTCTTGCGCCGACGAGAATTGTGCCTGGCTGCTGAGTCTCCCACTGGCAGTTCCGATGCTTCAGCAAAGGGGACTTCTTCGGGATCCTCTGGCACCAGATCTGTAGGAGGGCCAACCTCGGGGGCGGCTTCTTCGGCAGGAGACACTGGTTCAGCAGGCGCCTTACTTGCTTCCGAAGTTGGCTCATCAACAGGCGGCTCGGCGGGTGACTCGGATGGTGCCGGTGCCGGTGCTGGCTCGGGTTCAACGGGTGCCTCCTCAGGTATGTCCTTAGTCTGTTCGGGCTCTGGCGCAGTCTCCTTCACTAGCTCCTCGGCAGGCGCCGCTTCAGGGGTCGGCTCAACCGGTGTGGGATCTTCCAAACCTAGCTCAGCAGGAGCAGATGCCTCCTCCTTCGGAACTTCAGTAGCTTCGGGAGCAGTCTCCTCAGGCTCAGCGGCAGGCTCAGCGGCGGGCTCAGCGGCAGGCTCGGGTTCAGCGGCGGGCTCGGGTTCAGCGGCGGGCTCGGGTTCAGCGGCGGGCTCGGGTTCAGCGGCGGGCTCGGGTTCAGCGGCGGGCTCGGGTTCAGCGGCGGGCTC